TCATTGCCAGGTCTTGTTCATTCCAGGGCATCATTCTACTAAATGATCGGGCCAGAAAGCATGTTTCAACTCTGCACCAAAAAAAAAAAAAAAGAAAAAAAAAATCCCACAAAGGTGTGGGACCCCAGCAGAATCCTCTGAAGCCTTGCAGGCAAGAGCCCATTTGGCTGACAGAGTCGCTCTTCCACACCTGCCGGAAAGCTGGGTGCAAAGATATTCTAAACTAGCTGCGAATTCCATTACGTCTCTCTCCAGCCAAAGCCACTGAGGGGTGTGGTGCTGTAATGGGCCGCCACGCAGATGGGTTGCAAAATGCACAGCCCATCTGTCTTTATCATGCTCATTTCCTCTTTTATTAAAATGTTAATGAATATAGTTTTTATTTATCATTTGGTGACATGTGCGGCATCCTTTTCTGGGAGACAAGTCTGCAATCTGCCTCACCGTGTGAGCTGACGGAACGCGGGAATGAGGAATATTTTGGTTCTGTTCAAACTGCTATATGCAAGTTGAAGGAAAAGCCACTTTACTTGCTGACAGCAGCGTGAGGACGATGGGCGGTCTTGGGGTTCAGTGCCGGGCCCAGTGGCTACCGGCGGCTAGCCACGTGGCCACGAGCCTTGGTTTCCACTTCTGTGGAATGGGGATAACCACTCCATCTGCCAGGAAAGCAAATGAGAGAACTTATGGAAATGTAGTTTGCATTCCCTTATTATTATTCAGACATGTGCTTGTATGGTTCTGAATTCCTCTTGCTCATTCTTTCAGACTCTCCATGGAAAGTACATCTGTCAAACGTCGGCCCCGAGATGACAGGCGTCACCGTGCGTGGCCTGACTCCAGCTCGCACCTATCAATTCAGGGTGTGTGCCGTGAATCAAGTGGGCAAGGGCCAGTACAGCGCAGAGACAAGCAGGTGTGTGATCGCGCAGCCCGCAGTGGGGACGTGGGGCAGCTTGGGCCCGGAAGCAAGACCAAGCATCCAGTTAGGAGGAGGAGGTTGATGGAAGGAATCAACCTCCGTCCCTTAGGAACGGTGGCAAAAATGTGTGCAGGAGAGACTAGAACAAAGAGAGAAACACGGTCACTTGTGTGTTGGACGAGCTGATTTTCCTTCATTGCTCTGAGGGAAGTTTCTCCGACTTCTGTGGTGCTCGGGCTGCGCCAACACAAGGCGTTCCTGAGAGCACAGCCCCCTGTGTCCAGGGGGTGAGGCGCTGACCGTGTCTTCGCGCCCTCTGTCCACCCGGACTGCCGGCAGGACAGGAGCTGGTGCTGCCATCTTGGCAGGCGAGCGTCTGGCAGGGCACGGCGTGCTGGGGGTGGTCCTGACCTGGGACCATGGCTTCACCCCATTTCAGTGTGCCCTCCCCAACCAACCTGAGCATTCGCTGGGCCCAAATAGTGGAAGAGTTGAGACCTAAGTGACTTTTTTCAAAATATGGGCGTTTGGTATGAGAAATATTGAAAGAGCCAAAGAAAAAAACAATTTGGAAGGTGTCTCAGGCTGTGGGCCGGCAGCCTGGCTCACTCAGGCTTGTAATCCCTTCCCAGAGTGGAGGTGCTGTGGGTTATCCAGACAGAATAAGGTCACCTCCTGTGTCTTCCTGGTTGCTGGCTGGACTGATTCTCTATTATGTTGATTTGCTGTACCTATTTCATGCATGTCCTTTGAGTTTGATCAGCTGTGTGCTTCGCTTTGTTCATCACTTGATTTTGGTAAATAGTTAGGCTCCAGATTCAGCTAGACAGAGAATGCCAATGGGGACCGTTTGTCTCAGATGCTGATCTCTCTTTCCCTCCGCATATTCTATTTCTAGGTTGATGTTACCTGAAGAGCCGCCCAGTGCTCCGCCAAAGAATATCGTGGCCAGTGGGCGTACCAATCAGTCCATCATGGTCCAGTGGCAGCCACCCCCAGAAACAGAGCACAATGGGGTGCTGCGTGGGTACATCCTCAGGCAAGTAGCCTGTGTTTGGCCATTTTTAGACTGTCGTTATAAAGAGTCAGGGGTTTGTATTGCTGGGATTGCAAACTCAAAGGTCTGTAGGAGCCCAACAGTAATCAAGAGAATCAGGCCAGTGTCATACTCTAGGGAGTGGTGGGGACTGTGGCAAACAAGCAGCTGTGGGTAGCCTTGCAGGGGCAGCTTCTGCATATCCAACCGTAGCATGTCCATGTATGTATCAATGGTTGCATTTTGGTAGAAGAATGAAGAGGGATATTCTAAGTTTGCATCAAGCTATGCTATTCATTCCAAATCTTTTCTTTCTGTTTCAGTTTTTACCAGGGGCATGCATTATTAATAGAATAACTTTTAATTAATAATAATGCAGTTGGTTTCATTGCTGGCCAGTTGTTACCAGGCTAGCTCCTATGTTCAGTATTGCCAGGTTTTCTAGCGTTTCAAAGAAATTTTTAAAAATCTAGCTTTTTACATGTGATCTCACAGTTTCTAAATGTCGGAAATGAAGTCAGTACGTTTTGAAACACAGAGCAGGCCAAATTCACACCTCCACAGACCAGATAGGGCCCAAAGGGCGGCCCGTTTGCTTCCTCTGCCTTATAAGGGGCAGTCAGGCTTCTAAGAACATTGAGAGGACTCTACAAGAACTTGGCTGGGTTAGAGAAAAGAAATCTGTTTTGCCAAAACTACTGCTAATCTTGAAATTGCACCAAATGTGGTAATTGCAGTGGTTTGTTGATGCAAGTAGTGAACAGGAAAAAGTAAAGCAATATTAAAGGGTATTTATGAAATCTCTTCTACAGCCATGGACGTATTTGTTCAACGACATGCACTTTGTCTCCCTCCGCAGCCTTATGAGGCAAGAGCCATGGGTGTCCATCACTACCTTCCTCTCAATGCCAGGCCCGTGCCTTTGCTGAGCTTGTGGTCAGCAAATACTGGGTTTTAACAGAGGTCGAAAGGGGCTAAATGTAATGTCTTAGTTACAGAAGTGTAGCTTCTCTAGCTCTGTGCTCTTTGCATACGGAGGACCACTCCTTCCAGTATCTATTGTTGTAATCATCCACTCCTGGTTTAACACACATTTATCCACATGCACGTCATATTAGCCCACCACAACCACTTCACTGCTCTTCCCAAGTCTTCCTCAAGCTTGTGAATTATCCTCTAAACACAAGCTAGATCATTATCTACCTGAAGTGGTTTAAATGTGGCTGTCCCTCAGGGTACATGGAGCTGGAGGACTGGAATCAGCACTTGGGGCCCCTTTGGTCACTCTGCCCCCAAGTGCACTCCCCCCTATCAACAAGAGACTCTGAACTGGCCCCTTCAGGCAGGGGGCACCTGTGGGCTCGGGGCAGTTCCCAGTTCCCTCCTGAAAACAGGCTGGGGCTTCCCACTGCACACAGGCCCAGATCTCCTGTCCGTTCGTGCCACTCGCTCCTCACTCCAGCTGTCACTCATGTCCCATGCTCGTCAGCTAATGAAAATAGTTTCCTTGCCCTCCCCACCTGGCCCTACACATGCTTGTCATCTCGGCTGCCTCCACCTCGTCTTGAGCACACAGAAAAGGTTCCTCAGGCTCCAGCTGCCAAGTAAGGACTTTAAAAGTCAACCTACAGAACCAAGCTCGGGGCGAGGACTTTTATAATAAAATCTCTCTGATGTTACAAGGCCCCATCAGGAACTGCATGTTTCTCTATTTTGTGGGATTACCACCGTTAAAAGGATTTTGTGTGATGGTGTTAAGTGCTGGGAGAGAGGGCGTCTGTATTTGTAGGGGTTTAAATCAAGAAAGTCCTAAAACGAGGGTAGCCAAGGCCTGTGAATTTCAAAGTTTTCAGAAATTAAAGACCCATGCCAAAATGAATTTGCTTGGAAACATTTCCGAATAATCCTCCGGTCTGCAAATCAGCTCTGTTTGCAACTGTGTATCCTCCAGGGCTCAAGTGTCTGTGTCAGAGGCACAGCAGAATCCAGGAAGAAACAAAATGGAAATAAATCACTGTTGTGGCTCCAGCTATAAGAAGTAGTTAGGATGTGTGCGCAGTAATAAAATATTTATAATAATGGGCAGGGTGCTTCTTTGAGAGGAGCATAGGGGTTATGTCCTTTAAAAACATTCTCCTGTTTATTTCCATATAAAAAAATCATTCTGTCTGAGACAGTCTCCCAGGCAACGTATCCCACCGGTCAGAGGACGATGCCCTGCACTTTCCTTATTAATTGTGACCTTCCCAGACATCCTGTGAATATTACAAAAGCACCCTGAGCCACGGGTCAGAATGGACCAACCTGCCTGCTGCAGAAAGGAGGACAGCCCGTTTCCAAGACACGAATCCTGTGGTTTGTTTGGCGTGATTGTATGAACAGGGGTCTAGGAGAGGATGCGGCTTAGTGTCTCGGCTTAGTATCCTTCCTAGCTGCGCAGTGTTTCCAAACCAGAAATAGTTACGGCGGGCTTTACACTGTCACGGCTCTTTGGCACCCATTGTTTCATTTTATTCTTGCGACAACCCTGTGAAAGGCCATTATGATGATGTCATTTTCGGGAGTTAAAAACCAGGGCTCAGAGATGTTAAGACTTCGCTTGAGGCCACACAGCGTGTCAGTCTTCTTCCCAGCCTAAGCCTTCTGGAGCTGACTTCTTTGCTTTTCCCTGGAATGTGTATTGTGTACTGATGGGTCCACACTAATGAGCTCTTCTTAAGCAATCGTGCCCAGCACGCGCCATGTTGGTTGTAAGTGGTCCTGGGCACCATTCACATGCCAGGTGACCCTGGGTGTGGGGCCGATGCTTACCTTCTTCCAAATGGCTAATTGTCTCAGTGCTATTTATTTTGTAGACAGGGAATTTAAGTGGTAATATCTGGCACATGGGTTACTCGATGCCAGGCCTCTCCCTGGGGGCCGCCTTGAAGACCATGATGTCATGTAAACGAACCTAACCCCCTGCTTAGGAAGCGCACCCACACTTGCTGGGTGCAGGCAGTTCAGTAAAGGAATATCAATTCAGTAGGTGTCAGAAGTGGATGGACTATGAGGCAAAAATGCGGGGTGAGACATTAGCCTTCGCTTTTGCCTGTCCCTGGCGCCCCGTACCCCCCGCCCCGCGAGCTGCTGCTTCGGGCAGAAGGAGGCAGGAGGCCTGGAGCCTTCTTGCTGTGCTGCCTGCTCTTGACCCTGTGTCTTCCCGCCACAGGCCTCGCCTGTATGGTCTGTAGCAACAGGAGCTTTTCCGCCCTTGGAAAATCCGGGTTTTCACCAAGAACCTTTTACTGCCTTCCCCGTACTTCCGTACCGTTCCTGTAGCTGCCGTTCTCTTTGGAGAGCTGTTTTCCCTGGAAGGGCCCGAATCGGGGGGGTTCTTCTTTCTCCCGATGGCAGCAGCCTGGCGCGGCCTTCCCCTTTGTGCACTGGGCCCCTTTGGGGCATCCCCCTGCCCGGGACGGCGCAGGGAACAGGGCATCCTCCGCAGCCTGCGGTGGGGCTCAGTGTCGGTGGGGAACCGGACCCCAACCCGTCGTTGAGGGTCCCTCGCCCAGGGTCCCCTCCATCTTCACCCTTTCCCCCTCATCAGACAAGGCCGCATCTTCCTGAGGCGAAGAGCTGCTGCTTGGACAGGATTTGGGTGTTTTTGAAGCTGCAGGATGACCAAGGCAGGTCCTCCCAGCACATGCCCCTCGCTTGGCCCCGGGGAACCAATCCCCTTCTAAAAACAAAATCAGGAAAAGCATTTGCTCTTCCAAATAATGCTACAAAAGTCCTTCCGCAGCACACATGGCAATTTCCTAATTTATACGTTTTCTAAGTCCAGAGTCGTGTTTGTCACTTTTTAAAATAAATACGACTTTAGATTTATGTCTTTGTGGGGGGGAGTGAATTATTCTGTTTATTCTACACGTTGCCTTTTTTAACATCAAGGTAAAGTTGGTCTGTAACCCTGTTACTGTCAGGCATACACCGTAATAATTCACTCTGTATACACTGCAGGGTAATTGCCCCGGTGAGTCTGGCCACTGCCCGTCACCGTACAGTTAACCCCTTCACCCGCCTCGTCCGGGAAACTCCCCTGCAGAGCAGCCTGTCCTGTAGCAACGGACTAGTACCGGAAGCCACTCGTTCCGGCGCTGGGACCCACGTGAACAAATCTAGAAGCCCAGAGGGAAGAGCAGGCCGAGAAGCTTCTCTGCTTCTCCCCCATTTCAGAGCCGCGGGAGGAGAGCGTTGCTCCCAAGTTGTCCGTTTATGGCAACACCCCGGCAGAAATCATGGCTGGAGCTTTCGGCACTAAGTCACTGTGCTCCCCAGACGAGTCACACTTAAAAAGCCATCACTTTTCCTTAACCGTTTTGCCCAGAGCTTATGATCGCTGTGAGACTCAACGACCCCTCTTTGGAATGGCTGGCTTAGGAAGCCGTGTTGTCTGGGGCTGACCTCTGTCTTCACTCTCGTCTGTTTACCTCGTTTCCCTCCAACTGCACAGAGCGAGTGCGGGTGCACCCGCTGCCTGGTTCCAGCCATTTCTCCCTGCTCTGCTGCAGGTACCGCCTGGCAGGCTTGCCGGGAGAACACCAGCAGCGCAACATCACCAGCCCGGAGGTCACCTACTGCCTGGTGACAGAGCTGATCATCTGGACGCAGTACGAGATCCAGGTGGCAGCCTACAACGGGGCAGGCCTGGGCGTCTTCAGCAGGGCCGTGACCGAATACACCCTCCAAGGAGGTAAGCTTGCCTTCCTGCGCGGTGGCCCGGTCTTTGCTGGGGAGCAGGACACGCTGAGTTTGTCTGGAGCGTGGGAGAAATGAAAATAAAGGGCCCGAGCCTCTCGGGGGCGATGAGAAGGAAATTCATCACTCACGTTACTCAGTCTCTCTGTTCCTAAACAACAGCTGTACTGTAGAAGGACACAGACAGCATCCGAGCTGCTGTCTTCTGGGTGGTAACGCACCCTTCAGCTAGTGCATGTGCTCTCGGAAAGATCATGCCACCGCCTGTTTGTAAACAGAGCGATGGTGTGATTCACAGTAAAGCTCTCCCTGGAGTCCCAGGCGATACCGCGGATGCTCTTCAAAGAGAGGGCTTATTTAGAATTTTGTGTTTAGTACTGCAGGGTGATTACTGGTAAAGGAATTTACAACTTGGTGCATTTCTTTTTGTTTTGTTTTGTTTTCTTAATTTTTAGTTACACAGCCAAACAATTTACTAAATCCGTAAAAACCCCTCCCCACGCCCACCCTCCCCAAAATGGCCAGGCAGAATGACATAGAGCCGGTGGGTCCTACCTTCGTAGGCTACGCCCCAACCCCATCATTTTAAGGCTGATCCCCACTGTGTTCTGGAGGACCTGGGTCTCAGCCGCAGGAAGGCTCGGCAGGAAAAAGTGGACCCTGTCTTGGAGCGGCTGTGCATGCCCACAGCACCCCGATCCTGGTCCGGGGAAGCAATTCCCCCACAAAATGGGCAACTCCTCTCATTCGGCACTTTTAGCCTCTGCCGACTCACAGGTGTGAGTTTATTTGCTTAGGCGTTTTTATTGCCACCAGGCCTTGACCTTTTTCAAATGATAAGGTTTCCAACTGCCCACTTCTCTCCCCAAATCATGTCAGAGACCTAATGTTCCTTGATATTACGTACTGTTATATCATCCCTTATCGATTGGCTGTCTGTCATCATCCGTAAGTCCATAAAGCCTCCTTTATAAATGAAGCGTAGTCAGTTCTGCTTCCACAGGGAAATATTTCACTGGCAGGAATATTTAAAATGCAAGACAGCCAGGAAGTACCCACTCATCTGCATGTGAGGCTTGATTACTCTTTGGAAAGTGGAGACAGCTGAGCACCTGGACAATTAATGTTTGCTTTAATTCGTCTACTTAATAAAATAACAATAAATTGGGAAATACTTAAAATAATGAATATTGCCATTAACAATTCTCTATTACTGTTAACTGCGACTGCTTCATTTTGGTGCTGGAGCATCTGAGTCCTGTGCCGGGCACGGGGAAGCACATCTCCACCTCGCCAAGAAGGGCTTGCGGACTTAGAGTTTGGCTTTGACTCGGTTGGCACTGGGGAGCCATTGAAGGTTGGGAGCAGTGAGAGGAGCAAAAAGGGGGATGAACCTGTTGGCAGGTGTGCAGGCGAGCTGAGGGGGAGCCCCAGCGGCCACAGGGACTCCAGGCCGAAGGGCAATGATTTGGCCATGAATTGACGGGTTCCCTGCTGAGCTGATGCTGGCTGTGAGGAGGGCGGGCTGGTACGTTTGGGCGCTGCTTCACCGTTTTTAAACTAGCTTTACCTCTGTTCCCCCCGAGAGCCTCGCAACAGCACCCTGTCCGTGGGACTGGGCATGAGAACCGGAAGGGCCCAGCCCCTCCTTGGATTGCTGGCAGGCACCGGCTCAAACGGGGCAGGTTTGGTTTGCGGCCACTCACGCATAAGGGAACTGAACACTGGCTAGCTGGAGCTTAGCTGCTCTGAAACGCCAGGATGCCAGCCTAGGCGGAGGTGGCGGGTGGGCGGGCTCCCACTTCTGGGATGGAAGGACTGACTGGGGATGCTTCTGCTTGGTGCAAGGATTCGCTTTCCTCTGCTAGGTGAGAACATGGCGTCTCAGCTCTCCGTGCAAGTATGGTTCCTAGTATCACTCTTGTTTTAAACTCTGGATGAGCTGACGTCCCTGATTGATGCCCTGTGTGTAGTTTCCCCATCCGTATCTCAGCTTATGCAGCTGGGTCGTCTTCCTTTGTCTGGGCGTTGGATGGCTGGTGTTGGAGTCCCGAGCCCAGAGCCCCTGCAGGTCTCAGGGGCACCCAGGGGAGTGGTCATAATTCACATCTTCCCTCCCTGCAGGCATTTCTGCTTCAACGTTGCTCCCTCCTAACCGGCGTGGGCATAGGAAACACGGGCGTCTTTGTCCTCCCTCTGGGGGACACGAGCCCTCTCCTCTAGCCATGTTTTAGGCTCTTCCTGATGCTCACATGACTGTAACACCCTGGGGAAAGGACCCCGTGCTTCTGGAATGCAGTGGGTCTTTTCCCGCTGTTTCCAGACCCTGCCATACACCTCATCCTACACCCAACCCTTGGTCACCTGATACAGCTTCTCAGACTTGCAACAGCCTCTGAGTCTTCACCAGGAAGCACCGTCCACCCTGACCCTCCTTTGTTTGAGGGGCAAGCCTGAGCCCCAGGATAAATCAGGGGTGGGACCCTCGTTGACCGCAGCGTTGGGATGCTGTCCCTTGGGCGTGCTTGGTGCTTGACAGGTGTTGGCAGGGGAGGCAGCCAGCCCCACGCCTGCCGTGCGCTGCCGCTGTGCGGGTCCAGCCCTGCTCCCCGGGAGCGTCACCCCACAGCTGAACAATGGGGAACCAGCTTGTAAATTCTGTCCCTGAATCAATGTTCCCACCCAAGACAGGACACACATAAGAGAGGATTTAGACGTGCAGATGGGAAGAACCGGGGAGTGGGGGCAGGGGACCTGGTCTGGAGCAGGGGCGGAATAAACCAGATAAAAAATGATCTGATTAAAAGGTAAGGCATTAGGAAGAAAAATGGCAACAGCAGGGGCCATGAATAATTTAGGGAGACGATGATGGAGAGCAAGGGTTTGTGAGCTGTCTTCCCACACACACGCTCACTCACATCTGTCCAGAAACAGCCCTTTCTTGCTAGTCCATCAAGGCCTGACTCCATAGTTGCTACTTACCTGCCTTCAAGAAACACATCAAGCTCTGTGAGCCGCAAGCTCCCCCATTGTAAAATTATAACCTGTAACACCGTCTGCCCGGGCTGTTCCACGGGCGGGTGTGAGAGAAGACAAGGGCAAGGCCTGGAAAGCCCTGAGCTCCTACACAAATACCCGGTTGCTGCGCTGTCCCCATTCCTCCTTCCAGGGCAACGCCGGGCGTCTACTTCCTATTTGAATGTTTCTGCAGGGGCAGTTGTACCGAGAGAAACGGGCTCAATCTCTCTGCCAATAGGAAAACCTCAAGAAGTGATGGGAGCACCTACTGCAGGCCCAGTGTTGCATGATGGGCCACGGCCCGGAGAGTGGGAAAGACACCGGACACGCTGTCAATCCTGGGGACTTGTGGCCTAGCCTGGGAGGGGGACTAACATCTGTGACAGAAGAGCACAAACTACCAACGAAGCCAGCCTCGCTCGGGTGTGGTCGCTCCCCTTCTGTCCACAAGATCCATGTGACGAGCGTGCTTCAAAGACTTGCCAGCCGAGAGACTCAGAGGAACCTGCCGTCAATGTGGAAAGGGGCTTTATTGGGATCTACATGGTGGGACGGCAGCAGAGGAGTTAGGGTTCCGCTGTCCACAGTGGTTGGAAATGGGGTCCAGCTGGGAGAAACAGACCCAAAGTAACAGCTGAAACAAAATGGAGGGGTGTTGCTATTTCCTCCCATCAAGAGTGGGCCTTGGGCTGCATGGGGTCTTAGTGGCAGCTCCATGGTCCCCAGAGAGTCAGGCTCCTTCTTTTCGTTTTGCCTTCTTTAGCGTTTGCCTCATGGCTGCGAGCTGGCTACTGGGATGCCGGCTATCAGGCCCACATTCTAGAAGGAGGAAGAGAGAAGGTTATGCCTTGTGGCCAACTATGCAGGTGTGCCCGTCTTTGAAGAACTTTCTTAGAAGTTCCATCTGCTGTTGACTTAAGCTTACAATTCATGGAATATCTCTGTGCCGGAAAGTCTGGTGCTCTTTCGGCTGGATACATTTCTGCCCGTTGCTAAGAAAGAAAGGGGGGACAGATAGTGGAGGGCAGCTAGCTAGCAGTTTCTGCCTTGCTTTCTACCTCGACTCCTGCTGAGGAGTCAAATGCAGAGGATATGCAATTTCTAGATGTAAAATCGTGTGACCTTCTGTCTCACAGCTGGCTACATGTGGAGGGCCTCATGATCCTTTGGAATTGCCCACGTAAGAATTAGCAGACACCAGCCCCACGGTTCCTCGGGGCCTCAGCTCGTGGTCTGTTTGGGTGCCGGCTGAATGTGCTTGTGGCCACTGGGGACCCCTCTCCGTGGGCTTGGGGTGACCCCCGGCTGCTAGTGCCGTGTGTTGGCCAAGCCTGTAGGACTGAGCTGGCCCTTGCAGCTGGAAAGAGAATAATTTCAATGCCTGTATATTAGAGGGGAAGAGAATAGCTCATAAAATTAATTATTTGTCAGCCTAATTTGGAAAATTATTGCAACGTATATGCACATAATTCTGGAGTCTGTCAGGACTCCACGGGAACAGCAGGAAGCACCCGGGCTTCGGGAAGAATAAAGCTTCCGGCCAGCCCGCCTGATTTTTCCTCCTCCCTTCAGCCAAGCGGCAAGCCTGATCCATCAGGGGAAATGAGATATAATTTGTCCTGACTTTAATAAGCTCTTTGGATTTAACTCCTCTTGAGAAAGCATCGGAATGCCAAGGAGAGATGGTGCGGCCCAGCCACCATGAGGCAGTGTGTGACACGGTGGCCGGTCATTCTCAAAGAGAACTCAGGAACGTCCAGCCTCGGCCTGGGGGACAGAGCCAAGCGCACACAGGCGGCCCTTGCTGGTGCCCACAGCAGACGCAAAGTGATGGGCAAGCGTTGGCCCCAGGGGGCAGGGAGTGCCCGCCTGCTGCTGGGCGCACAGGTTGGCTCTCGAGTGTATTTCCTTCACGGAAGCTCCGGAAGGATGATGAGCTGGTCATTCGTACCTTGAGTTCAACACAATGGGCTGTCG